GGCTGCTCGACCGTGGCTTGCCTTCTTTTGTCTCATCTCTTCTGCTCCCAAACTCCCTTTGCCATGCCCCCTTTACCTTCTGAGATACCTGTTACCTCTTATTAGGCCGCCAGAAGCATTTGTTCTCACCCAAAGCACCTGGGATCTCATTGAAATGCAGACTGAAATTCAGCTAGCACTGGGAAGGGCTGAGACGCCGCATTCCTAACAAGTGCCAGGTGATGCTGATGCTGCTGCTCTGTAGATGCCACTGAGTATTGACGACCCGGAACAGCCGTTTTCCATCCACCTTGATTGCACACTGGAGTCATCTGAGGAGGCCTGGGTCCTCACACAGGTTGTGGTTCAGGAGGTCTGGTGTGCAGCCTGGGCATTGGAGTTCTTAAGAGCTCTCTTGGATGCTCTAGTGTGCAGCTTGGGTTGAGATCCACTGACCTGGAGGCACATCCCACCCCCAGTCTCCATGGCTCCCTGTCTCCCTGCTCCAACGCAGCCAGGCCTCACCAGACACTGTATCCCCTGGATACCATCATTTCCTTGACAGCGGTCTTCTGTCCTTCCACTCTGTCGAGTCCACCCCCATGTGCCTTGCCCTCGGGCCACCGAGAGGAGGGGGTGCACAGAGCAGGATGCAAGTGACACCCCCAACAAGGAGGCCTGCACGAACTCACTCCCAGACTGGCATGGTGGAGGGGCGGGTCGCTGAGGGCAGAGTGTGGGCAGGGGACAACTGAGCTGGCATGAGAATAAAAGGACAGGACCAGAGCAGCGTGGCACAGGCGCGATTGTGCGGCTGCCTCAGGGTTCTTGGGTGCTGTGTGTTGGCTGTGCCAAGGGCTGTGGCTGCACCAGCAGCATCTGTCCTAGATGGTGGTGGGTGGTGAGTTACACCCACTGCCGAAGGGGGAAGCCCTATCCTCCTCCGGGCCCAGCTCCTGGCTCCCATCACCCTGGTGTTTCTCATGCTGGAGTTACTTCGGGGCTGAATAGAATTTTACCAGAAACAGTCCCTATGTAGTGTACATTTCAACCATGTACACTAAATCGCTCTCCCCTCACCCCCATTAGCTTTCTCCCATGTCACTTTCTCACTGAGGCCTGCTCTGACCACCATATTTAACATGTCAACTCATCCTTTACCCGTCCTAATCCCTCCACCAGCTCTGTGTGTCTTCCTTATGGTACCGTCGCCTTGTAGCACACCATAACCTGTTGTATTTATTGCCTGACCGTCTCTCCCACTAGAGCGTAACCTGCCCAAGAGCAGGGATTTTCGCCTCTCTTGATCACACTGCCTACCTTAGCTCATGGTGGGGGCAGCGTTCATTTGACTTCAAGGCCGTCCTCTCCTGCCTGGCATTCGAATCCTGCCATCTGCCCGGTCCTCTACCTGACTCTTCCCTGAGGCTGAGGAGTGTGCTCTGGTGGCAGGGCCAGGCCAACTATGGGCTGACTTCAGACCACAGGTAACTCTAGACGCCCATCTCCTGCAGCTTCTCGCTAACCTCCTGATGTGATTAGTAAGTTTCTCTAACAAAAAAAATGAAAAAGAAAAAATGACATTTAAACAGCAATATAAATTGACTTTTCCTCCCTTGGAAGCAGGTCATGATCTGAGTCTCCTGTCAATAGAGAACTGAATATATGCGGAACTAGTGCTCCTGCATACAATGCTTCGTTTCATTCCCTACTCCCTTCGGGACCCTCCTCTGGGGTAGAAGGAGCAGTGTCTTAGGGATGTCCAAGGCACGAAGGTGAACAAATGCCTGGTGCCTTCTGTGGAATGTGAAGATGAGGCTTCCTGCTGGCCAGCCCAGGCAGATGGCCCTGGCAGCTGCCCTTTTTATTCATAACCGCCTGAAGGTGCTTGGCTCAGATTTCAAATGACAATGACATGGCATCAGTTTTAGGGGCCACAGACACAGGAATGGGCATTGGGGAGAATGTGGAATTGGAACCGGGTGTCCTTGGGCCCTAGAAAAGACCGCGCTAGAGCCGTCAGGGAGGAGTGAGCAGGCAGAGGGCAGGGGAACCGGCTTCCAGAGGCGCTGAGGTGGCTGGAGGCTGAGCGTGAACTTGGTGCGAGAGGTGTGAAGGATGAAAATGGGGCTGGCGGAAGGGGAGACAGGAATGTCACATCCTGGGAAAAGAAGCGGGGGGAGTAGGTGATGCCGGAAGGAAGAATCAGGAGGTGAGGAGGGTGGCCAAGTGATGATAGCCAAGGATATCTTAAAATGCAAAGGCTTGTTAATGGATGGGAGCACCGTGCCGCTGGCACTGCTGCGGGCAGCAGCTTTAGGCTTCTGTGAGCCTCCAGCCCAGCAGGGCCAAAGCTGTCATCCGAGCACCTGGCTTCCCTGGCCAGGTCCTTCCCTCCTGCCCCTCCAGACAGATGGCCTTCCCATGCGCTTTTCCCCAGCTTATCCTGGCTTTCTGCCTGCATCCCAGGGTTCCCACGCTTCTCTGATCAAATCACAGTCGCCCTCACCAGGCCCCCTCTGGACCCCTCGGCTCTTGAGTTTAGGGCTGCCAGCTTTAGCAAATAAGAATACAGGATTCGCAGTTAAATTGGGATTTCAGATAGGCAACAGATCATTTTTTAGTATGAGTCTATCATACGCAATGTTTAGGGTACACTAGAAAATTGCTCATTGTTTATGTGAAGTTGGGATGTTTAACTGGACATCCTGCGCTTGATCTGGCAACCCGCCCGAGCTCCTCCCAGTTTCAGTCTGGGGTTTCCTCTGCAGCCCCTTGCGTGAAGATTGGCCCCTTGTGCCAGCATGAAAGCAGAAAGAAGTGGTTTGCAATGGACTTTGAAATCCACCTGCAGTGGGCAACGAGGGTGTTCATCGATGGCCTTCACCATCTGGCCCCCACAGACCATTCTCCTGTTTTCTGCTTGTCCCTTAATGAAAAACCCTCTCTTTTGACCTGGCTGGTTTCCTCATCTCTTGCCCCATACTCTTGGACCTGCGGGGTTCACGGCGACCCCCACAGCCCCATCCAAAATGGCCTCTTCCTCTTCCTCCTTTGCCTGTTGATGTCCTCCTACCTGTCTTTCTGGAAGCAGCTCCCTGAGTTTGGGGACTGAACACCAGTCTTTGCATTCCCCACAGAGCTGAGGACGGGGGCCTATCGTTCCCAGAGGTGTTAGAAAATATTCAGAATGACGTGAATAAGCCCAGTGCCCCACCAGGTTTCTTGAAGAGCTGTGAGCTTTGTCTGTCCTTCCAATGGCGGGGGACTCCTTCAGGCTTTCCCTGCATGGAGTGTGAGGACGAAATCTCCTTGAAGCATTCACGTTATTCCTTCCGAGAGAAGGGGGCACCTCAGGGCAGAGCCCCCTTCACAACCCCGTGTTCAGGCCATCACATATTTTATCATCGTCGTCGCCATCATCACCAAAATCCATTTCAGCTGCATTGTCTTTACAGGGCCGATCAGTTTCCTCGTTTAACTTTAGTGACCTGTGAGTTCAGGAGCGTTATCCCTATTTACACATGGGGAGGCGGAGGCGGAGGCCACAGTGGTGAGGAGCCTTCACGCGGGGCCCCAGGGTGGCCGAAGGCAGAGCCAGAAGCGTGGCCTCCCGGGCTGGTGCTGTGGCTGCCACTTCAGGATGCCTAGTTCTTCCTCAGCAAGGGAGGCAGGCAGGTCCTGTTTGTACCTAAACTACCAAACCGGTGCGGTTTGAGCTCAGCTCCCCCATCCCTGTATTCCCCAGACCCCTCAGAGGTGCCTTTCCTGTGCTCCTGAGAGAAGGGTGTCCAGTGCCCTGCGGAGCCCATCCAGCTCAGATTCCGTGACCCCTCCCACCTCCAGACCTGCTCAGGAAAGCATCTGTCCTCAGCAGCCTCACCTCTGCTGTGATGCCCAGAATCATATAGTCAAGGGTTTCCCTGAAAGTCCGTGGAACTCTAGTCTCGCCAGATTCTCACTCTGTGATAAAGGGTGTCACGGTCCAGCAAGTCTGGAAAGCCCTGATTCTGCAGTCTCTTTGGGACCATGATGATGCATAAGAGCATATTGAAGGCCCTAAAACGCCCCACAGAGAAAAATAGCCATTTAACTTCATTGGACCCAAATTTCCCAAAACATACCCAATCATGGAAACTTTTGCATCAAATAACAACTATGAACATTTTGTGGAACTAGTGTTCCACGCAGCCTACTTTGAAAAACAGCGATCTAGTTCAAATCTTCCTTTTTATAGCTGAAAAATGGAAAATCCATTCAGTGATTCATCGAGCATTTATTAAAGGCAAATTGAGATGCTCCCAAATGCCAGAGCCCATGTCACCACATTCTGAGCTGCACAGAAGTGCAGTAATAACACATTATTTCCACGCTGCACTTGCCGCTTAGGCCGACTGTCCACTAACCCGCCAGATGTTGGTCTCATACCCTTTTCAACTTTGAGAAGACTGAAGCACAGAGATGCATGAGCTGCAGGTTTGCATATAAGCCCGGCTGTGAGCGGTAGCTCATGCCTGTCATCCCAGCACTTTGGAAGGCCGACGCGGGTGGATCACCTGAAGTCAGGAGTTCGAGACCAGCCTGGCCAACATGATGAAACCCCATCTCTACAAAAATACAAAAATTAGCTGGGCGTGGTGACATGCACCTGTAGCCCCAGCTACTTGGGAGCATGAGGCAAGAGAATTGCTTGAACCTGGGAGACAGAGGTTGCAGTGAGCTGAGGTTGTACCACTGCACTCCAGCCTGGGCAACAGAGTAAGACTTTGTCTCAAAAAAAAAAAAGAAAAAAGAAAAAAGAAAAAAAAATGGCCAGCTCCATTTCTTAATGAGACATTTTCACCCTTTATGATGTTCCCCAGCCTCTTGAACAAGGTTGTGTTTTGCCATGAAGCCTAGAGCCAGGGAGAGAGCCCAGGAGGAGTGACGCTGGTGGGTTTGAGAGCAGGGCTTTGACTGGGGCCCACCCTCTTGTCCCCTCCCATTCTTAGCCTCTCTTCTCCCCACTTTTGTCCCCGCAGGTCTAACTGGCTGAAGCCGTGCTGTGGGAAGAGAGCAGCCGTGTGGCAGGTATTTTTGCTCAGTGCAAGTCTCAACAGTTTCCTGGTAGCCTGTGTAATATTGGTGGTGATTCTCCTGACTCTGGAACTTCTAATAGATATAAAGCTTCTCCAGTGTGAGTAGCAAGAGAGATACATATGCCAATACATATGATGTCAATATTCAATGTGCATCTGCATTCATCAGGGGTCCCCAACCTGCAGGCCGTGATCTGCCCCCGCCGATGCTGCTGCCCAGCCTCAGGCCCCAGGGCTCATGGGGATGGCCACTGGGGAGGACATACATCTGGCAGCTTCTCTCTCTGTCACCTCCAGCCTCAGTTTGCCCCTCTCTGCCCAATGTGGCCTCTGCAGTCCTCTCCCCAGCATTCCATGATCAGAAACTGATGAGATGAAAAATGTTGGGGACCCCTGTATGCATTTTTTTAATTGCTCCCATTTGGGATTTTCCAGGTTGGAATTTTCTGTAGTCTAAAGAGAGTTCCCATTTACGGAGGCATCTCAGCTTGTAGTAACTACTTACGACAGCGACCACAACGATAAGATTCCTGGTATTTTTATCCAGCTGTGAGTTGGCAGTGTGATTTATATGTATGGTGATAGTTTTTAAAGAATTTTCCTCACATTTGACACTACAGTAACCCTGTGAGATGGGCGAGATGGATATGATCCCATATTATAGACGAGGCAAATTAAGATTTGGAGAAGTGAGATACTTGCCCTAAGTAAGAGGTATTGGAGCTGGGACTTCAAGGCACCAGGTCATTTAACTGCTTGGCCAGTTCTCTTCCTCTTGGTATTTGTCCTAGTTTCACGTTAAACCTTGTCTTCCACCTCTTCTGTCCTGGATGTCCCATAGTGACATCGCTGTCTGAGTGGAGGATCCACCGCTTACCCCCACCAGGCCTACCCCGTGCTGTTTGTCGCACCAGAGGGGCAAGGGCAGGTATCTTGCCTCTTGACTTTGGATAACTTAGTGGTTTCTGGTGCAGTTCCTGGTTCCCTGTATTGCCCTGACTCAAAAGGTAGATCCTTCAAATGCAAATTTAAAACGAGGCACAGGCCAGGTGTGGTGGCACATGCCTGTAATCTCATTTGGGGAGGCCAAGGTGGGAGGATCGCTTGAGCCCTGGAGTTTGGGACCAGCCTGGGGAACATGGCGAGACCCTGTCTCTACAAAAAATGTAAAAATTAGCCTGGCATGGTGTCACACGCCTGTAGTCCCAGCTCCTTGGGAGGCAGAAGTAGGAAGATCGTTTGAGCCTGGGAGGTCGAGGCTGCAGTGAGCCATGATCACACCACTGCACTCCAGCCTGGGTGACAGAGTGAGACCCCATCTCAAATAAATAAATTAAATTAATACATAAATAAATAATAATAATAAAAGGTACAATTATCAGCCCCAAAGAGACTTCTTTTCCTTCCACTGGCAAAATCCAGGACTGTAGATCCAGTCACCCCCAAACCCATTCAGATGTCTTGGGCTTCCTTTCTCAAATGCCCTCAACTCCTTTATGGGATCCTGTGAACTCAGGGTCTGTCCAAGCTCCCTCCAAGTCACATGAGCCTTCTCTGCTCTCTGAGAGAGGAGGAATGGTGTGCACAGAATTGCTTTTGTCTGATAAGCCTAGTTGGGTTTTATGCAGCTGGTGGCCCCTTGGTTCCAATTAAAGGATCTTCCAGCATAAAGTGACCGGTACTGGTTTTACACTCAACCTGTCTTCAATTAAACCATGTTGTATACTTTCCCTCCCACTCACCCGTACTGTCTGCTTTTTATGAGACCTGCCCATAACGGAGCCTTTCTTTCCCCGTGGCGGATTGTCCTCGGGGCCCTCGGCTGCTCGGGCTATGACAAGGTATTGAGGAGAACTGAGAACCCAGCCGACACTGGAATTTTGCTTAAAATTAAGTATCCAGGAGATTGATTTTGGTGGGAGATCCAATAGCAGCTCATAAAAGGCATCTTAAATTCCATAAAACGCACAATCAGAGATTTATTGCTCTTCTAAAGCAAACCGTAAAAAAAGGCACAGGAATTCATTTGAGAAATAATGGGGAGAGATTTTATGTTTTCAGAATCATCTGGAGGTCTTCTTGGAGTCACATGGGCCTCAGCCTCTTCGTTCCCACTGGTATTCATGTGGCCTGACTCCAGGCTCATCTTCTAAGGGTCGCCTTGGCCCAAAGCCAGGGGGCCTCAGAGTCTCCCACCTGGAACCTGGTTCTGCAGCTGTCTTCCCCTGGCTATGCTTTGTGACCTGACTTCTACCCACCCCCAGGGTCTGCAGATCCCAGAGCTTCGGGAGAGGTTGTGGGTTCCTCTGTTTCAGTCTGGCCCTCCCCGCTGAAGGCACTGGGCACTTTCCCTTGGCCCTGGGGGGTTTCTGAGCAATGTGCCAAGCAGGCCTGGCGGCAGCTCACAAAGGAAGCACAGCAGGCATGTTCTCAGCAGCATTCCTGCCCCTCGCCCCATCTCAGCTCTTCCCCAGTATCCCACTAGTATTTCTTTTAGGCCTCTGGGGAGCCCTCTACCCTCTGGGGCAATCCCTCCCACCCAGTCTCCATCAGAGCTCACCTGACCCTTGTCCTAGGCCCCAGCATCCTGCTTTTGGCCTTGCTGGCTAAAAACCATGCCATGCCAGGGTTCGAAGGCTGGCCGTGGCTTCACGTATTTTAAAAGGGCTTTCCAAAGAAAATGCCTTACCTCTAAGGAGTGGCTGGTGAAAGGTGGGGCGGGAACCGTCAGGGGCCAATGGCTCCTCTCACTCCCACTCCAGAACCTGGGGGCAAGCAGGGCAACGTAGAAGTTTAGCAGACCCCATCCCACTGGCTCTGCTAATCTAGGGAGGGAGGCAGACACCTCTGCCCCAAACTTGGCTCCCCTGCCAGTCCTCACTGCAGCCTTCTCTCCAAAACACCCTGGCCGACACCACCGTCTCTGCCACTCGGTTTCCAGAACGAAAAGTCACAGTAAGCTCATTTAGAGTCCCCTGACTGTGCACAGCACTTTGGGGGTGAACTGTGGGCTGGATGTCTAAAAGCCCATCCAGCCTCGACTGAAGCTGCCTACACAGCCCAAAAGCCGTGAATGTCTTCCTGAGCCCCTTCTGGAGTGTTTCTTTCCTACAGTCTGGCTACAGCCGAAAGCCCACCAAAGACCAAGCAGGAGTTCAGAGAGGCGGCCCGTGGGGGAGAAGGAAGCAGCCCCTTGGGTTGGAGGCAAGAAGAAGAGCATCGTTGTCTCACAAATCTCCTACCGCCTTCACTGCAGACGCCAGTTAAAGCTGCCCTTGCTCTCTGACCCAATTTCCACCAGATGTAAATGTTCACGCAGGCGGGCCCTGGGGTCCCAGAGGTCTGGATGGATGCTGCGAAGCCCCCATAGCAACGCACCTAATTCCTTGCTCCTCAAATTTGGTCCTTATCCTGTCCATTGCAGTTTCCAGCGCGTTCCAGTTTGCTGGTGTGATTCACTGGATCAGCCTGGTCATTCTGTCCGTGTTCTTCTCAGAGGTATGTAGAGACTGTGGCCCTGTCACCTCCTTTGTTGGGTGACTCCTGTCCTGGGAAAACCAACGTCTACTTCTTGAAATGGTTTCTAGCATCAGGCCCCCCGCTAGCCTTTGAGGCTGCTGGGAGGGAGATACAATACAGATAGCTGAGCTTGTGGGGGGAGATGGTACAGGGAGCCCGACCCAGCCAGGGGGGTTTGGCGCAAGCAAAACCCTGGGAGGAACCCCAGCGGATGAGCAGGTGTTCTCCTGGTGAGGGGGTGCCGATGACGCTGGTGAAGGTGAGACTGAGTGTGGCATCGAGGGGCAGCCAGTGTTGGATGCGGCCAGTAAGGAGCAGGTGGGAGGTGAGGCTGAAGCCGAGTGCCCACACAGGGAAGCTCTTGGGACGCTGTGGCTGTGGTCTTGGGCCCACAGTTGGCCGGACCCTTGGGGCCGAAGCACGCAGGGGGTGGGGGAACCAGGTCACAGGGCCAGGCAGTGGACCCAACCTGGTCCTGCAGGGGCCCCGGGTCTGATGGGGCCGAGAGATATGCCTCTCAGTGTGAGTGCAAGGCTGTGTTTCCGAGATGGGGGCTCAGGGAGCATGGACCCCCATCAGCATTGCTGGAGTCGGCTAGTAGAGACCAAGTGCGAATCTCTGTGGTGAGGGGAGGGGAAAGTTTACGGAGATCCGGAGATCCGCGGGTCCCTGGGCTTGGTGCAGAAGCTGACGTGCCTGGGCAGCACATTCCTCTGTTTTTGCATGGGGGTGAGTGACACTTCCTTTGAGCAGTTCCCAGGCTGTCCCAGTGAGACTCTGGCCTGCATCTGGGTGTGGGAGGAATTGGCTTGGGCATGCTGCAGGCAGGGCTTTATCCTGCCCTGTGCGCACTGGAGGTTTACTGAAGGACAGGAGAGTTTCATGTAGAAAACTGGTTTTTCCTAACAGAGCCTAGGACTGGCCCAAGTCAGCAGGCCACTGTGTCACTCCACCCTCCAGCATCCCATCCTTGCTATGGGTACATATTAGCCCATGCAGAGTCCCGTGGGCCTTTCAGCATGGCTCAGCAAACCCTTGGGGAAAGGCAGGAACGAGTGAGGCACAGCGCCTTCTGGGAACACACGCACAGCTCACACCAACGGGAGCTGCTCTACCTGAGGCACGGGGGCTCTGGGACCCCAAGACCGGGGGCCTTGAAGGGAGGAAGGATGCTGTGAGAGAGGGTGGCATGGGCAGAGGCACTGAGGTAGGGAACCTTGGGAGTCAGGAGTCCCAGCATCCTCTTATGGGTCCCCTCTGGTCTACCTAATGGCTCTGCACTCTCTGTCTCTCTCTCCCCCCACCACCCTCCCTAAAAATCAGGAGGGAGCTGGGCTTTGGGTCTTGAGTCTAGAATCCTGACTCCGGGTGTGGGGTGTGGTGGGCCGGGCAGCAGGCATTCCAAGCATGGAACATTCCCTTTCCCGGGCCTTGCCTCCTGCAGCCCATGGAGCTGGCCGGTGAGCCTGGGCCTGAGGCTCAGATGGAGGGGGCAGATCCCAGCACTGCCCTCCCAGGACGGGTCCTAACTGCCTCCCTGAGACCATTGTCCTGGAGGTACCTCTGCCTGCCCCCAGAGCAGAGGGCCTGCTCCCCCGCTTACAGCCCCCACGTGGGTCCTGCCCTCCCTGGCCCCTTGTCTCTGCCTGGCCAGGATTCCCTCCCGCAAACACATGGGCCATGGCCAGATGTCTCCTTGATGCAAACCTTGGAAAATGTGCCATGTGTCTGTGACTGCCAACAAAAATGTTTAATCAGTTGCTGCGGTTCTTCCCCTCTATCCCTCTGCTTTGGTTTTATTGGCTTTTGCAGAATTTATTGCCCAGCATTAATTTGGCATTCCCTTCCTGTGACTGCCGGAGACGAGCCACCTGAAACAGACAAACCCCTGTGCACAGGAATCGCAGCCTCAGAGTCCCCCACAGGCACCCCCAAACCAGGGAAGGGGCTGGGTCCTCCCACAGCTGAGCGGGGAGAGCAGGGTCTGTAGGAGGCTGGGGAGGAAGGGCTGGCTCTGTTACCTTGACCTTGTCAAAGATGGTGAGGGGGTGGAGCCAGGCGACTGGTAGCAGGGTCTGGCCCTGCCAGTGCCCTCTGCCCAGCATGAATGGAGGGCCGGTGCATGGGGATCGAGTGACGAATGAATGAGGTACAGAACCTGCAGGAATGTACACACAGCTCACACCACACTCGCAAGCGCAAATTTCCGTGGTCTTGCTGCGTGCCCACAAGAACCATGTCAGAACCTTGTTACTGGAAGGGTCTCATGGAGGTCCCCTGCCCCCAGACAGTTTGGAAACATGCGAGCATGTCTGTGCCCCTCACAGTGACTGGGACGCCTAGTAGGAAGGGCCAGGATGGTGGGTCAGCCTGCGTGTTTGCTCACCATACCAGTGGTGTCCTTTCAAAATACTGCACAGACAAGGAGAGCAGCCTAGGGTTACGCAGCCAGTTAAGACCAAAACTGGACCCAGGGCTCTGGGCTCCTAAGCTGGTCTCTTGCCCCTGACTGCATCCTTCGGAGACCCTGAAGCTGGCAGGGTGGGAAGGGACTAGGGGTGTCTGGGAAGAACCTGAGAAAGAAAGTCTGACCGAGCGATCACTCAGACCATAGACCCAGGATGACTGGCACCCCCTCCTCAGCTGGGAGAAATGAGTGCCACCCCTTCAGGTCTGCCAGTTCTTTCCTGGTTAATACCCAGGGATGTGGCTGTGGGCCGAGGGTGGGGTGGCACTCTAAGCCTCCTTGGCCTTAGGGAGTGGACATTACTCCACAGGAAATTCCAAGAAGGTCACCCCGCCGGGGCTCCTGCTGTCCTGGGCAGTTCTCCACCCCGCCTCGCAGCTGAGCCTTAGGGCAGTCCTGGAAGGTGGGTAGGACATTTTACGAGTTGTGAAACTGAGGCCTGGAGAGGTGTGGAAACCTGCCCAGGGCCTGCAGGAATGGCAGGTGGGCCCAGGCGCAGGCCTCTGGGTGGATGAGTGGGCCTCTGCCCTGGCCTCTGCCCACCCCAGAGCTCTGCAGGCCGCTCTGGGAAGACGGGCTACTGTGCTCTGTGCTGGCCCCAGGTCACAGAGCTAGGCCCAGAGAAGGGGAAGGTGAGGCTGGTTTGGGCTCCGTTTGAGGACGTCTGTTCAAATGGGCCAAGCTGTTTGACAGTGAGATAGATGCTGTCAAAGCGGTGAGAGTGCCCCTCATCAGGCAGGCTGTGCAGGGGTCCCTGCAGGGGTCCAAGGTGAGAGTGGATGCCCGTGAGACTCCCTGGGCCCCAGTCTTCCAGGTCACGCAGGGTCACTGCACTTCACGTGGCCCTTCAGCACCAAGAGTATACAGAGCCTTGCAATCCAGATGGAGAATTGTGCAAATGTTCTTCCAAAGCACAGCCCTGCCCTTGGCTGAGGCCAGGCCCAGCTGGCCACTTGGAACTGGGAAGACTGCTGCTCCTCCCCTGAGACTGCAGGAGTCCTTGGGGCCTCCTGGCCAAGGCCAGGCCACCCTGCAGCAGGACCCAGCGTGGGCTGTGGGGTGTTGGCCCCATCCCTGGGGTCTGGAAAGGCCCAGGCAGCCCCAGCTCTTTCCCTGGGAGAAGAGAAAGTGGAGCCACAGCTGGCCTTCTAGACAGGAGCCTCAGGCAGTGGTGGCAGCAGCTACTGACTCTCCTCTCCCTCTCTTTCTCCTCCTTCTGTTGAGGTGAAATTCTCTTCACATAACCCTTTTACAGCGGACAATTCGGTGGCATTTAGTACCCACACAGTGATGTGCAGCCGTCACCTCTGCCTGATTCCAAAGCACTTTCATCACCCCCAAAAGGAGACCCCATACCCAGTAGCAGTCACTCCCCCTGCCCCCTGTACCGCCACCCCTGCCAGCTAGTAATCTGCTTTTGTCTCTGTGAACTTAACTCTTCCGGATAGTTCATGTAAACATAATCTTACACTATGTGGTCTTTTGTGACTGGAGTCTTAGCATGTTTTCTCAGTTCATCCATGATGTAGCACAGCACACTTTTCTTTTTTTCTTTTTGAGACAGGGTCTCACTCTATCACCCAGGCTGGGGTGCAGTGGTCCAATCTCAGCTCACTGCAGCCGCAACCTCTTTGGCTCAAGCGATCCCCTCACCTCAGTCTTCCAAGTAGCTGGGATTACAGTCGTGCACCACCACACCTGGCTAATTTTTATATATTTTTTTTGTAGGGACGGGGTTTTGCCATGTTGCCCAGGCTGGTCTCAAACTCCTGAGCTCAAGTGATACTCCCCACTCGGCCTCCCAAAGTGCTGGGATTACAGGCAACAGCCACTGTTTTTCTTCTCCTTACCAGTGTGAGACTAGTGACAGTGTCAACTACCACACAGATCTTCACATTTCTTATTTTGGCCTTGTAGTTGGATCCTGGAATCCACGTCTTCGTCTTGCCATTGTAGTTTAACCCCAGGGAAAATTTGTCCAAGAGCAGATCTGCTTCTTAAGGAAGTTCCAGGGGTCAGCCTCCAGCACCCATGGTGGCTGTTCCTTAGACCAGCCTGCTCCCCTGAGCCACACACCACCCTACGCCCCCAACCTGGGGGTGTAGCTGGCAGTGTTGGGAGGCCGCAGGCTCGGGGCTAGACATGGCTGCTCCCTTCTCCCTGGCTGGTGGGCCCCATGTGGGGATGGCTCTGCAGGGCACAGGGGTGTCCAGCCCCCACTCTGCTCACTAAGAGGTGAGCTAGGGATCTTCCTCTGCCTTTTAAAAATTTGCACAAAACCAGCTTATAGACTAACAGCTACTTCTGCCTGCATCTCCCAAGGTTTCCAAACTCTAGCAACCTCATCAGGCTGCTCTCCAGGGAAATACGCTGATTCTGCTGAGGGGAGGGCCTCGGCCTCAGGCCGCAGGAAGGGGCAGGAGCCCTTTCTTCCATTTGGCTGAGGCAGGGCCTGGACCAGGTGCAAGGCTTGGGACTTCCCCCTCTCCTGTCCTGCGGCCTGAAGCCTGGACCCCTTCCTTCAGAGAAGACAGCGTTTCCTTCCCTTGGAAGAGATGAGGGGAGTCCCTTCTTGAGAGCAGGGCTTGACCAGGAACAGAAGATGAGGGCACCTGAGGCGGAAGGCAAGAGGGGTCCAGGGACCAGAAGGTTCACCAGCCACTCTTCACACCTCAGTTTCTGCGTCTCTCAAATGGCATAAAAACTTTGCTCCTAATAAATACTCAATAAATGGCACCGTCCTTGAGTGTTTGCCAAGGCTTTAGCCTACACTGCTTATCAGAGCAGCCTCCTGAAGGCAAAACCGGGATGAAGGAGGCTGAAAACCCTTAGCCCCAGGTGGGAAAGGAGGTGACTGAAGCTGAGGATTCCGGCTGCATCAGATGCTCCTTCAAATGCTCCTTCAAAGCCCTTTGCAACTTTTAGGGGCCTGTATTGCAAGGCCACGGCCCTGGGGCTGGGGCTGGGGGTGGGGCAATCCTTCATCATCACTCTGCTTTTTTAGTGAGCTGTGTGCCTCGCTGAGCTCTGGAGCAGCTCTGGAGGTGGCCGCACACAGGCGTGGATCTGCTTTCAGCCCAGATCTGTCCAGAGATCCGGCCAGTGTCAGGTGGTTAGTAAGGAACAGTCAGAGCCAGAAAGAGGACCAGACTCTTGACTCCCCATCTAACGCCCTTTCTCATTATTGCTTGTGGACCTGTGGTCTCCTGTTGTAACCTGGAGCAGGATCGCCTTACACGTCCCTGCGGTTCCGTCGGGTGCTCCAGGGGAGTTTGTTTAAAAAGCATATTCCGGGGCTTGTGCCCAGAGTTTCTGATATCCTGGCTCTCCACAAGAGTCCAGGAATCTGCGTTTTACATAAACCCCCAATGCTGCTGAAGCGGGGTGTCCTTGGCTGCACATTGAGAAGCACAGGCAGTCAGTGGGTTAGTCCAGCCCGTGTTTTCAGAGGTGTAAGACTCTGCTTGGTCTGTGTGGGGCAGGGCAGTGAGGCTGTGTCCCTGCCTCCGTGGACAGTGGGTCTCGGCAAAGGTGTCGGGAGGGGAAGGATGCTGCAGGGCGGGGGGTTCAGAGCCAGGGTCACTCTGGCCTTGACCCTAACCTGGAGCCACTGCTTCCCATCACTAGCAGGAGGCCTGGCTGGGAGGTGTTTCCTGAGCCCTCTCCACAGCGGCCTCTTGCTGTTGTGTTTCCATGGGCTGAGCTAGGAAGGAAAGGCTTCCAGAAGAGTGGGGCTTGAGCCAGGCTTCCGAGGATGGGTCCCCTGTGGACGGGCCAGCACAGAGGGAAGGCAGCGGCTGGGATTCTAGCTGTTTCACCTGCTTCCCTGGCACTGCTCTGGTTCATAAAACCGTCCAGTCTCTTTCCTTCGTGGGGCACAGAGGCTCTGGGTGCACTGTCTGCTGCCTCCTCCTCCTGCTCAACCACTGCTGGCTGAGTCCCATGCCTGGCCAGCTCCCTCCACCCCTCACTCCTGGGCCTCTGCTTTTTCGGCTAAGAAGAGTGTTGTTTCTAAAGAAGCATGATGATTCCTCTTATTTGAGGATCCTAAAGGAGTCAGATTAATAGGGACAGAAAGTAGAATGGGGAGAGGTAGAATAGGGAATTACTGTTCAGCAGGTACAGAGCTTCAGTCTGGGAAGACGAGAAAGCTCTAAAGGTGTATGGTGGTGATGGCTGCACAGCAATGTGAATGTACTTAACACCACCTGGACACTTCAAAATGGTTAAGATGGTTTTGTGTTATGTGTATTTTACCACCATTTTAAAAGGAGAAGGGGGAGAAAGAGGAGGAGCAGTTGCCATAGCAGAAATTATATTTGCACCAGGCCCCGTTCCCATCTTCCCAGCCTGGACTTTTGTTTTGGACACTCCAGAATTGAGAGTTCAGGATGGATATGGCTATTGTAGCATTTCAGAGGAGACAAACACTAAGTTTCAATCTCAGCACAATTAGAGGAGTTGGGCAGCAACAAAAGAAAGCATATTATTATGTAGTGTGTGTGTGTGTGTTTTGAGACAGAGTCTCTCTGTCACCCAGGCTGGAGTACAGTGGCATGATCTCAGCTCACGGTAGCCTCCGCCTCCCAGGTTCAAGCAATTCTCCTGCCTCAGCCTCCTGAGTAGCTGGGATTACAGGTGTGTGCCAACACGCCCGGTTAATGATTGTAGTTTTAGTAGAGACGAGGTTTCACCATTTGGCCAGGTTGGTCTTGAACTCTTGACCTCAAGTGATCCGCCCGCCTCGCCCTCCCAAAGTGCTGAGATTGCAGGTGTGAGCCATCATGCCTGCTTGTTATGTGGTGTTCTTACACAGCTGAGTACACTCTGCAGAGCCAGAAACTTCTGGGTCCAAATGTTGCCTTCATTCCTGATTGCTGTGTGGCTATGGGCAGCTTCCTTAACTTCTCTGGCCCTTTCTGTAAAATGAGAATCACATGTTAGGAGGGCTGACCCAGGGTCTGGCACTCAGACATATAGTAGATGGCAGATATTATTCTCATAAATAATTGGAAGAATTACAACATGTAACCCACCTCTCTGGCAGAAGGAGAAACTGAGGCCCAGGGAGAGGATTTGACTGGCCAAAGGCCACACAACCAGCCCATTATTGAGCTATGATCTCAAGACATTGTGGCCCCCCCAACCCAGCTCTCTTCCCACCCCTGCAAGGTGTCTTGCAGTTAAGCATGGGGCCACCCACCCAGACGCCGGGAAGTTATAGAGGAGCAGACTTCGGGCCGCCATGTGCTCCTCTCGGTACTCAGAGAAGGAGACATGACTGTCCCCGATGAGCATTCACCTTCCTATCCCTTCACAGAAATCAAGATTGTCCTTCACGAGAAAGAGCTGGATTTTACCAGCCAAGCCTTTCTGTGGCATAACAGCTGTGGGTGATGATCCTCCGGGCAGCTTTGCAGAGTTCAAAAAGCTAGGCTTATACTACAGGCATGAGGGAGAGGGGCACCATCTGATGTGAATCACTGTGAATTAAAGTCATCTTGGCTCAAGGAAGAGCCTGCAGACAAATGTACCGGCATCTTACGGGACCAGCATTTAAGAGGCTTCTTTGGAGAAAGATGTCCTCTTGGTGAGGAAACCGCTCCTGAAGGCAGTACCATTCAGGAATTATTCATTCATGCACACGTTGTTCATCTGTCCACAGTGCATAATTGCCTGGTGGCTGCTGTATGCCAGGTGTTAGGGATAAAAGAGAGAACACAGACCAGGTCCCTTGAGCCTCCACTGGGGGATGGGGAGGGAATCAGCACAAGGTACAAGGAAGTGCTGTGGGAGGGTGACTCCCAAGGACCATAGGAACACTCAGGAAGGAGGCACCAGCTGAGCCGGGGAGTGTGCAAGAGCTTCACGGAGGTGACGTTTAAGCCAGAAGGACAGGAAGGGGAAAGCCCTGCTGGCTCAGGCACAGGCCAAGCTGCTGTAACAAGAAAACCAAAACACAGAGGCTTAAACAAGGCAAGGTCCATATCTCTCTCATGGAAAAACACATTAAGTGGATAGGTAAGGCTTATCCAGCAGGCTTCTGTCTTGCGGCCTGGCCCTCCTTGGTTGAAGACGGCACACCGTCACGCTTATGCACCCAATTCTAGGCCTTGGGAAGACAGAAGGAGGAGGAGCCTAATTCATTTAAGGGCACAACCTAAAAGTTGTACTTGGTGCTTCTGGTTGCTAGCCATTGGCCAGAATGTAGTCACAGCTGCAAGGAAGGCTGGGAAATGTAGTCTTTAGTTGGGTGGCCATGCCGGAGCTTCAGTTATTGTACAGGAAGGAGGGAAGAGATTTGGGGTCAAGGAGTGGAGAGGGGAGTCAACTGCAGTTTTTGCCACATGCAAAGACAAAGCCATGAGAGAGAGAGCTTGTATGTTTGAAGATTCGTAAGTGGTTTGCAGCATGATGGAAGTGGCAAAAGATGACACAGGTGAGGCAGGCAGGGTCCTAAGTATCCTTCCGAGGGATTTGGAGTGTATTCTGTATGTACAGGGAGCACTGAAGATGGCATCAGGAGTGCCCAGGGGATGGCACAGAAATGGGGGGGTCTGAGCCTGCAGGCAGAGGAGCCAGCAGGAGGTGCGCCCACCACGAAGGCTGGAGGTGGGGCACTGGCAGTGGGAGTGGAGAGGGCGGAGACCTTTTCCTTTTACTGAATAAGGAACCAGAACTCTGAATGCTGAGCTCTGGAATCTTCTTCAGCTGAACGAGGACCTGGAGAATAATCAGTTTCTCACTTCCTTTCCTCAGACTGTTCTACGGATTGTGGTGCTTGGGATCTGGGATTACATCGAAAACAAAATAGAGGTAAAGACCAATGTCCACCCCCAAAGCCCTCACTCAGCCATCCTGGAAGCTGGAAAACATCATGTCCCATCCATCCCAGGGTGGACACCATCAAAAAGGCTGACTCCTTCTCCCACTTGACCTCTGTGGCCGCACATGTTGGGTGGGGCAGGGAGGGGGAACTGAGACTGTTTTCAGCAAAAGAATGTTCTAAAACATTTCTTTAGAATGTTAAAAGGAATGCAGAATTCCTTGAAGTTCTGCAAAATTTTACAATTTGAATCAATTTGAAAAGCTTTTGAAATGTGTTTTAAAACAAATAAATTCACCCTAAATGGAAAGCTGAGTGGGAAACTGTCAACGTGCTTCTCAGGCTGGGTTTCCTTTCTGCTTCCTGCCACGAGTGTGGGGCGTGGTGGGTGGGACGAGGTCAGGGAGGCCCGGCTGTCACTGGCAGTGTTGTGCACACAGGCAAGACAAGATGGTCAGGATCTGCTGCCCACTGCTTCCTCACCTCTCCATCTAGGTTTCAGCCTCTTTGGCTCAGTGCTGGGATCTGACACAGTGGGCCTGGCTGATGGATGGCTCAGAACACGGCCAGGCTGGAGCAGGCAGATGGAAGGGCGGGGCCCAAGGCTTCATTGTGCAGGCTGGGCCCCCTTCTTGCCTAGCCCTGCCTCCCTGGAGGGTTAGAGACTCTGCACTGGACAGAGCTGAGATGTGGGCTCCAGGCTCCTGTTCCCCCCGGGGAAGGAGACACCCTGACCCTGCCTTCAGCCCCTGCTCTGCCAGGGAGGGATCCAGCTTGGCCTCTGCCCAGGGTCTGGGATACAGAATGCAGGCCTTATCTTGAGAAGGGGCAAGACAGCCCAAGGCCATCTGAACTAAGGGCTGGAGATGGGCTGAGGTCACTTGGAGGACAGAGTGCACTCAGGAGAACATCTAGGAGGAGGAGGCCCCTAAAGACTCAGGAGGGTCAGGAGGGGCCACCAGGGATGGGGTGGCCTTCTGGTGGGGCCCCGGGCTGCTGGAGAAGTTGAGCAGCACCAGCTGCTTTGCCTGACTGACCCCTGGTCCCAATCACGTGGCAGGGCCCAGGGCACTGAAATGCACCTCCTCTCACAGGTGTTTGACGGGGCTGTGATCATCCTATCTTTGGCTCCGATGGTGGCGTCCACTGTGGCCAATGGACCCAGGAGCCCCTGGGATGCCATCAGCCTCATCATCATGCTCCGGATCTGGAGGGTGAAGAGGGTCATTGATGGTGAGTGGCCCGAGGGGGATGTGGTCAGTGGGGCTGCTCCAGAAACTGGGCTGTCAACTGAGAGGAGACACTGTGTGATGAGGGTACGCCCTGCTGGCATCAGAGTGGAAGGTGAAATTGTCAGCAGGGGGAGGGGCCAGCTGTCCCTGTTCACTCGCCGTCACGCACACTGCCCAGGTGTTGCATGCACACGCTGAACTTCCCAACTCCCATTTGGGGGCCATGTGTTCATTCCCATGCAGCTGTTTCCTGTGAGCCTGGAGGGCCAGCCTCCACGCAAGCCCTTAGAGCAGGGCCTGTCATTCTGGAAGGAGCAGACATTTTTTTTTTTTTTTTTGAGACGGAGTCTTGCTCTGTCACCCAGGCTGGAGTGCCGTGGTGCGCTCTCGGCTCACTGCAAGCTCTGCCTCCCAGGTTCACGCCATTCTCCTGCCTCAGCCTCCCAAGTAGCTGGGACTACAGGTGCCCGCCACCACGCCCAGCTAATGTTTTGTATTTTTAGTAGAGACGGGGTTTCACTGTGTTAGCCAGGATGGTCTTGATCTCCTGACCTCATGATCTGCCCACCTCGGCCTCCCAAAGTGCTGGGATTACAGGCGTGAGCCACCGCGCCCGGCCAGGAGCAGACTTTTACACCCTGAGTGTCTCAGTGCACACCTGCTGCTGGCTCCCTGATGGCCTCCAGCCTCACCACTGGCTCTATCCAGGTCATCTAGTCAAGGCCTTGCTCCCTACAGGCTCTGTCTCACCTTTGAGTCCACCAAGGGCAAGCTGGGTGCCCATAAGCCCGTTGACCTGCAAACAAGTAGAGAAGAGAGATGCTGGCAGGGGCTGGCCTTTGGCCTGTGCTTCTGTCATCTTCAGTGACATGCCTTTCCACCCCTGGGTCTCCATTCACAGAAAGCATCTGGTCCACTCCTTTGTCATTGCTTTATCATTGCCTCCCCACTGGGCCACCCTTGTCTGGAAAGCTGTGCCCTGACCTGGGTGGCTCCTGTGTTTCCAGAAGGTGGTGACAGACCAGAGTATGTGGCCCAGAGGACCTGGGATACAGAAAACCCACCCCTGGAGAATGGTGCAGGATACTCGGGGTGGGGGGTAGCCCAGAGGATGATGACACAGGCAGGTCACTGAAGTCATTTTACAGAAGAGGGAAGACTCAAGTTGCTGGGCTCCAGAGGGTGGTCCTTGGTCCCTGAGGACAGGAAGAAGAGGCCCACGCCACATCAGCCAGATAAGGAACAGAGCCACTCACAGTGGGCTGGTCAGCCTCCAATAGAGGTCCCCCTAGAGTGACCAGGAGGTTGTATAGACAGTGGTTCCCAGGATGTTTTGTTGGTTTGGTTTGGTTGACAGCAAAGCCTTCTTCAGCAAAATCATACCCAATCTGTAAAAGAGATTGCAAGTGGAGCTGCTTTGGTTGACTTGGAGTGGAGGAGCCTCACAGCCCACCTCCTTGTCTTCTCCCTTGCCCTCTGAGGCACCCCTAAGGAACTGCCAGGCCTTCTGGAGCACAGTTTTTAAACCACTGGGATAGATGCCATGGTCTTTTCCAGCCCTGAATTTTGATTGCAGATGATAGAAATTGTAGCCATGACACTGTTCCACCAGCATTTGCCCAGCAGGTGCAAGGCAGAAGCTGTCATCCTCAGGGCGAGCTCCCTCTCCTTGGGCCTCACCCTGTGTTCCACCCTGGGAACACTGTGGGATTTGGTCCTGATAAAGATGCTGACATCTTGTCAGGGGTCCCCTAATAGGGAATCTTCATCAAACTGGAATGTGTTTGGGTCTCACTTCAGAAGCCTTCGGAAGGCTGGGGAGGCTCTGGGAGATCACCTGGTTCACTCCCCTCATTTGACAGATGGGGGAACTGAGGCAAAGAAGGAGGAGGGTCACTTGGTGAATCAGGCTCAGGACCAGAAGTGGAGCCTAGGACCCCTGACACCCACCAGCACTCTTTCGGTTGCTCACTCCCTGCAGTCTGCTCAGGGCTTGGGCTCTGTCCATGAGAACATCCACCCCGCTCAGGGTAGGAACAGCGCCTTCCGGGTCTTTCTTCCAGCTGTGGACAGCTGCACACCCTCAGACTAATGGATTTTGAGAGCCCCCTTTGTGACACTCTTCCCAACTGTCCCGCCCTTTTCCTGACATGTCAGGCATCGCGGAGCCACCGGGAGCCTCAGGAGAGAGACATGCTGGTGAACAGATGGACGTTAATTTACTACTCTTGCAAAATAACCCTGGGTGTGAACTGGCTTCAGCAGAGATCTGAGGAGGCGGCGGCAGGCCTCCGGACCTGGAGATGGGTCTCAGGGACACATGGCCAGCCCGCAAGTCTGCAAGCAAGCAGAAAAGTCCCAGTGTCTCTTCTCTGCTGGTTCCTGCAACTGCCAGGAAACATGTGGAGGTGCAGAGACTGCAGGTGGAAAGGAGACTGGGAGAGAGGAAACGTGGAGGGTTCTATAAATCAGGGACAAGAGAGTCATGTGACCGAGGCTTCTGAAGAGTCAGGAAGGGCTGGTGTGGGAACAGTGTGAGGGGAAAGGCTGTGTCAAAGTCAGGAGTAGACACTGAGACTTCCCAGGAGCCCAGAGCTACTCTGAGCCCACAGAACCACCAAGGGAGGTGTCCATGGGACTACTGCTGGCTGGTGGAGCATGGGGCCCTCAACCTCAGAGGTCAGGCTTTCTCTTCTGGGTCTCACTATACCAGTTATAAATAGGATCATCTGAGTAACAGAGACTCAGAATAACAGTATCTTAAACAACAAAGAAGCTTATTTCATTCACGTAAAAGTCTGCAGGCCAGGCATGGTGGCTCATGCCTGTAATCCCAGCATTTTAGGAGGCTGAGGCAGGCAGATTACCTGAGGTCAGGAGTTTGAGACCAGCCTGGTCAACACAATGAAACCCTGTCTCTACTAAAAATACAAAAATCAGCTGAGTGTGGTGGCACACACCTGTACTCCCAGCTATTCGGGAGGCTGAGGCATTAAGAATGGCTTGAACCCGGGAGGTAGAGGTTGCAGTGAGCTGAGATAGTGTAACTGCACTCCAGCCTGGGTGACAGGGAAAAAAAAAAAAAAAAAGTCTGTAGGAAGGTGGCCCAAGACAGATATGGCCCTGACTACAGTCACTGACTCCCTGTAGTCAAAAGCCCAGGCTCCTTCTGTTTTTCTGTTTTGTTGCTCTGCTGCACTTAGCCTACTTTTCAAAGTCACCTCATGGTCCAAGATGGCTGCTTCCGTGCCAGCCATCACATTCTCCTCCTAGCCAAGGAGAAGGAGGAAGGGAAGAAGATAAAGTGTCAAAAGGAAGGCCCACTGCCTTCTTATTTTAAACATCTTCATCCAAATATAATTCACATGCCATAAAATCCACCCATTTAAAGTCCACAATTCAGCCAGGCATGGTGGCTCATGCCTGTAATTCTAGCACTTTGGGAGGCTGAGGTGGGTGGATCATTAGAGGTTAGGAGTTTGAGACCAGCCTGGCCAACGTGGTAAAATCCCATCTCTACTAAAAATACAAAAATTAGCCAGGCGTGGTGGTGGGCACCTGTAATCCCAGCTGCTCAGGAGGCTGAGGCTGGGGAATCACTTGAACTTGGGAGGTGGAGGCTGCAGTGAGCTGAGATCACACCACTGCACTCCAGCCTGGGTGACAGCAAGATTCCATCTCAAAATAAAATAAAAGTTCACAATTCAGTGGTTTTTAGTATATTCATAGAGTTCTGCAGCCATCACCAAAAAATCTAAGTCTGGAGTGTTTTCGTCACTCCAAAGAGAAAGCCCACACTCATCAGCAGTCACTTCCCATGTCCGCCTCAGCCCTAGGCAAGCACTGAGCTGCTTTCCGTCTCTATGGAGTTGCTTGTTCTGTTCCATTATATTTCATATAAATGGAATCATGCGACATGTGGTTTTTCTGTGTCTGGCCGCTCTCATTTAGCATCCTGTGTTTGAGGCTTATCTGTGTTGTGGCTGGTGGTGGTACTGCATCGCTTTTCACTGCCAAGTAGTGCTCCACTGCATGGCTAGACCACAGCTGATGCATCCACCGGTTGATGAACATTTGGGTTATGTCTACTTTTTGGCTATTAGGAATAATGCTGTTATGAACGCTCATGTGTGAGTTTTTGTGTGGACACATGTTTTCCTTCCCCTAAGGTTCCTAGGAATGGAATTTCTGGGTCACATGGTCACTCTCTGTTTAACACTCCGAAAAACGGACAAACCGTTTCCCTAAGTGGTTGCACCGTTTTCCTTTCTGCCAGTGTGTGCAGGCTCCAGGGCCGCCCCATCCTCACTGGCCCCAGCTCCTTTGTGAAGATGGCTCCTGCAGCTGCTGCCTGCCACCTACACTAGCATCCTATGGTCCAGAGGGTGGTCTTGTGGCCACCCATAGCTGCAAAGGAGGCTGGAAAATAGTCTTTATTCCAGGCAGCTGTGCACACAGCCCAAAAGTATGGGTTCTAGCACTATGGAAAACAGGAAAACAACTACCCTGGCCACTATGAGTAAAGGTTGTAGCCCTCTGTACTTTCTGGATGCTGTCGGGTACCTGGACATTTCTCCCTCTAGATCCACAGAACTGGCCCAGGGCCTCGAACCTGCTGCTGGCTAAATGCTGGGTCAGCCCTTCCCCAGCCCAAGCCCTGCCACTGCTGAATTCTTTACAGTGCTGTCTCTGTCTTCCAGCCTACGTCCTGCCAGTGAAGCTGGAGATGGAGATGGTTATCCAGCAGTACGAGAAGGCCAAGGTCATCCAAGACGAGCAGCTGGAGAGGCTGACGCAGATCTGTCAGGAGCAAGGGGTAATGCACCGCCACTTTCGGCTCTGTCCGTGGTCTTGCTGGGGACACTGGTAGTGCCTAAAGCCACGGGTTGCTAGAGCTGCAGGGGCACCAGAGGTCAGGGAGTTCCTCCAGCTCCTTGTTGGATTCATGGGGAACCTGAAGCCCAGAGAAGGGGGCACATCTCCAGGGTCGCTGATGTACAGCCCAGCTAGGCATAGACTCAACCCTGACTCCCAGGCCAGGGTTCTTTCCACTGCAGCACGGTGACTCTTCAGCTCCCCGACCTGAGCCTGCCACGTCGCCCCCTCAGTTCATCAGAGTCTTCTCGGAGACGTGGTTGGTCTCTTAAGCCAGCGGCTAATTCTGTCTGCTGAGGGTTGCTGGGCACCATAGTATGTCCATTGCCATGCAGGACGCCCAGAGCCCCAGAAAGGTGCTAGCGGTGCTCTCCACCCTCCAGGAGCCGTGATGAAGACTCGGAGAGGCAGGTGGTGGGCCCTGCAAGGATGGTCTCAACAGAGGCAAGGGGGACTGGCAGCTGGGCCAGGAGCACCCTGTTGGGCATCCAGAGACCTGCATTCAAGGCCTAGCCCTGCGGCTCCCACCCCTCCAGACTCCAGCCAAGTCAGGCCACCCCTCTGCCCTCAGTTCCTTCCTCTGTAAAATAGGGTGGCTGCTCCCATGTGAGTGGGACAGAGGAGTTCAGAGGAAGGGGATTGGGGTGCTTAGGAGGGGGTGGCTGCTGGAACCCACAGCAAGGCTGAGAGCTCTGTAGAAGCGCAGCTCTGGGTGCGGGGAAGAGTCTGGTCCCAGGCTGTAAGGTGGGAATGCTACTGAGGGGACTGGCAAGGTGGTGGGAATGTGGGGGATGGGCCAAATGACATGCATGGTCATTCCCATTCTGCCCCATGGATTCTGGGGAGGGGACAGGGCCACTGCCCCCAACTACACAAGCCAGAGACACCAAGCCTATGGCTCTCCGTGCCCAGGGCCAGGCAAGTTCTTCTCGGGCTGTCTTCCAGCCCATGTCCTGCCAGTGAAAGTGGAGGAATGCCCGTGGCCTCATATTGACATGGGCACTGAGTCCTTCTGGCTTGCAGTGCAGTAAGGGTGGGCACCCCTGGGCTCCCTCTTCCTCCCCCATTGCTGGGTGCCCAGGCAGTCTCCAAGGGGGTCTCAGGGCTGAGGTCTAACCTGGCGTATGGGCCATTATGTGTCCGCCTGTCCCATCAACCTCCTGTCTCATGCGTCTGGTGCATAAACACCCTGATTGTGCCAAGTGGAGTCACCTGTCATTTTGACAAGCCCTGTGCCATGCCACCTCTTGGGATTTGGTTGCATGGTGCCCCTTGCCTAAATCCCTGCCCCTTGCAAGCTTTGTCTGTCTAATTCAAGTCCTGGCCTCTCTACAGAGTGTGTTCCCCCTGTCAGCAGTCTCTGCACCCCCTCCCCCACCCCCACAGCTGCCCTCACTTGTCTGCATTCACAGGGCACTGGGCACTCACTGCCATGGTCAGTGCTCCTTTATACCTGGGGCAGCTCTTCCCACTGAAATGGATGCCCCCTGAAGGCAAGCCTTGTCCAACTCACATCCATGTCCCAGCCCCAGCCAGCACTCCGCGCGTTGCAGGTCTTGGTAAATGCATATTCAGTGTGTGTTGTGGGTCTTGGTAAATGCATATTCAGTGTACCTCTTGGCTCCCTGACCAACCCCAACCTCTCATAGTTTTGGGGTGGAGGACACGTCTGTGGAATGTCACTACAAAGTGATCCTGGGAAATGTCCCCACAGGAATACACACACACTGTCTTCAGAATCATCTCCTCGGAATGTCTGTCAAGAAACCAATCTTTTTATATGCTTTGGAAACACTATGACCTTTCGTTTCGCACAGAATGCCTGTGCATGACAAGAGGGGTCATCAGGGGACACGGCCTTCAGGGGCATGTTGTCCAAGGTGTCCTGAGAGCAGGGCAGTCTATGGAATCCTAGACTAGGAAGAGAAGCATTCCCACCCTGAGGAGCTGGCATCAGCTTCATTCATTCTCTCGCCGTATCGCGTGGTCAGCCAGCACCGTCCAGAGCTGCTCTGTGCTGGGCTTGTGCCGGGCATGCAGATGCCACTCAGGACAGGGTGTGGCCGTTGTCCTCACGGGGCTCTGGGTGACTCAGGGGGTTTAGCAGCCCATAAATAGGCAGTGGAAATCTGGTGCAATGCCTGCATCACACAGGCACGTCCCCGGCTCTGCAGGCCAGGGTGGGGAAGGCTTTCCAGAGACGCTGATGTGGAGCAGGGCCCCGGGGAGAAGGCTGCCAGGCGGAGGGAATAGCGTGGGGTGTGGGAGTGGGTGCAGTGGGCCATGTAGAGGGTGAGCAGAGCGAGGCAGCAGGAGGATTGGGGACAGGCTTGGGAAGGGGCTCTGTGGCTGACCAGAGAGTTTGGGCTTTATCCTGCTGGGACAGAGGAAGCCTGGAGAATTAAAAGCAGGACTGGGGGATCTGCTCAGATGTGAGTTGTTGATGGAGCCTTCTGGCTGCTGTTGGAGGCTGGATGGAGAGGGCAGGGTGGAGATCGGAAGACTGGGGACAGAGGCTGGAGAAGAAGGTGAGAGAAGCTTGGCTTTAGGCAGAGGGGGCTGCAGGGAAGTGGGGAAAGGAAAGCCCAGGCTGTCATCCAGAAAGCGGCTGGAAGCCGATCAGGCAGTTCTCATTCTGCTGTCAAATAGGAAAACAAATGCTCTACTTCACGGCAGTTGGCAACGTGAAAGACATGGACATAGGGCTGCATCTGCCCCTCATAAATTCGCAGCCTCCCAGCCCCACAGGGAACGCGCTGACCCTGCCACACGCCTCACCTCAGCCACACATGTGCCACGTGGCCAGGAGAAAATCCTAACAGCAACCCCACCTCCCAGGGTTTCCACCATGACCTCTGTCCGGAGCCCCCCGGGGACCCCAGGTTGCTGCCGTCCTGATTCAAGTCACTCTCCACATGTGGCCTCCTTCCCGGGGATCTCAGCCAGAGGGAAACTCCCTTGCATTCTGCACAGGAAAGAACCAATAAATAAAGACAGATTCCCTCCAGGTAGTGACATCTGGAAAAGAGATGAACAGAAACAAACCATTTTAATTTAAAAAACACCTGAACCCTGTCATCTTAGTTAAGACAGCAGAAAGGGCCAGACAGGCTGGACTCCCAGCGGGACCGCCAGGGACAGTGGGGGGCTGCCTGGCCAGAGGGACCAGGAGGGCTGCTCTCCTGGAGTCTGTGGTGCCCGCTCCACAGAGCGAAGCAGACAGACGCCTCGCTCATGCTGTATTTTCAGGCCTGGTTTGAGACTTGACTGGGTAACAGATACTCTGGAGGAAATGAGACCGCGGGCCCTGGAATGTCAGGGATGGCTAGACCTTTGGAGACAGCAGCCCATGGAATGATTGAGAATAGACTTGGTTCTAAATAGACTTCGAGCTGGCTTTGAACCCAGATACGTCTCTCTTTAGAACAATTACTGGCCTTGTGGCTTTGGGCATTAATGGGACATCTAGAGGCCTTGGTTTTCCTAATCTGAAAAATGTGTATAGTAATAGAATCCTTGAAGGATGGTGATGAGATCGCGTGACCTAAAGCCTGACATGTGATGGGTAGCAACTGATGGGAGTCCACCAGCCCCACCACACCTGCCCCACACACCCATTTTACAAATAAGAAAACAGTGGTGGCGGCTCGCCCAGGCGGCACACAGCTAGTCCAGGGGGCATAGAACCAGGCGTCCTAACTGTGAACACTGTTCTTTTCCAGCCCATCATGTTCAGCTTCCTTTTTCCTACTCATGGCACCTCTTAGCACTCGGTGAAAACATTGATCAGATTATGCATGGGGTATCTTATACTGCAGGCACAGACCTGGCTCCCCTCAGCGGTCTCAATGGCACCCCCAACCCCATTCCAGGACAGTCTAGTATTCTTTGTGATAAACTCTTTCTCTCTCCTTGCTGGAATTCTCAGAGTATAATGAAGCTATTTCAAACTGAATTCACGTATGCTGCCTGAAAAATTGACATTTACCAATGAAATGTGTTAGGGTCCAAGTTTAAATACAACACCTGGCCTGGCGCAATGGCTCACACCTGTAATCCCAGTGCTTTGGAAGGCTGAGGCAGGAGGACTACTTGAGGCCAGAAGCTTGAGGCTGCAGTGAGCTGTAATGACGCCACTGCACTCCAGCCTGGGCCACAGAACAAGACTCTGTCTCTTAAAAAAAAAACAGAAAACACTTTGCACTCCCTTGCTCTCTTGCTGGGATTTGTTTGTACAAGTATTTGCCACAACTTCACCGAGCTCTTTTTTAAAAAAATAAACTTTATTTTTTAGAACAGTTTTATATTTACCAAAAAATAGTGAAGCAGGTGCAGAGTTTCCCATATCACCTGTGCCTGGCTACCCATTATTAACATCATACGCTAGTATCATTTGTTACAGTGCACAAACCCACATTGATATGGTACTCAGATTTTCTTAGTATTTAATCTTTTATGTCCTCTATTTGCTCCACATCACATTCAGTCAGCATGTCTCCTTAGGCTTCTCCTGGCTGTGGCAATTTCTCAGACTTTGTTTCTGATGACCTGAAGGGTTTTGGGGAGCACTGGCCAGGTGTTTTACAGGATGCCCCTCTGTTGGGATTCATCTGATGTTTTTCCCAGGGTAAGCCTGGGGTTGTGGGTTTTGGGAGGAAGACTGCAGAGGGAAAGTGCCATTCTCATCATGTCACATCAAGAGGACACGCTGGCCGCGTGACTTCTCACTGTGGTGTTACCTGGATCACCTGGCTGGGGCAGCATGTGTCAGGTGTTTCCACTGCACAGTTACTCTCTGTTTCTTCATCTTAACTTTCTTTCTTTTTTTTTTTTTGAAACAGAGTCTCACTCTGTCGCCCAGGCTGGAGTGCTGTGGCGCGATCTCAGCTCACTGCAACCTCCGCCTCTCGGGTTCAAGAGATTCTCCTGCCTCAGTCTCCC